TAAATTGGTCTGCCTTCATTTTTCTGGGTTTCACTACTAATCACTACCACTACAGTAGTCGAGCGGTGGCTTAAGGTGTTCGAACTACAATCACTAAGTTCCAGGTTTGAGCACCGCTCTATCAACTTCTGCTAGACAACCGTTTAGTATCACTGAATTTCATATGGTGTGGTTCATACCCAAGTACCTGGAGAATGAGTTAATTTGGGTACTGTTTTTATGTACAATATTTTTTTATTTTTAACCTTTTGAATTTATTTTAATATTTTGTGTGACTTGTAGCAATTTAGGACCGCATAATATTGATTAAAATCCTACGTAATCAATGTTTATTTTCCGTAATAACTACTTACTAACTTATCAGGTTAGTGATCTAGAATTATAATCTCAGAACGGTTTTTTTCAAATATTAATTTGGATGTGTCAGAATAAGAAATAGTATGTGATTATTTAAAATATTGCTGGCTTTTGATTCAAGTTTTAGAGTCAACCATAAATTTAATTACCAGTTAATCGTATTAGGTGACCTTCTACAGTATTATCTCATCAATCTAATCGAATAAGGTAAAGTGACTTTGAACTAATGGTCAAAAGTAAACTGTCACACTATGTTACTGAATAAAAGCTTAACGTATATGCACATTAACACGCTGTAGTAACTCCCACCACAAACAGACATCGACTACAAAACTATTGTAGACCAAGAAGTGTTGCACTAGCATTTTATCTCTGTGCTAGATCGAACTCAAGACCTTCTGGTATATCACAACATGCACAATACTTTTCCAGTGGTTAACATTTTTAACATCTATAAACTAGACAGTGTTGAACACTTATCTCATATCACTGATTGATTATCAATGAAATTTTAATGTGATTAAACCCAGCAAGACATGTGAGTGTCACTGTCGAGTTATACAAAACGTTGAGTCATATATATTGGATTGATAAGTAAAAACAAAGAAAAAAACTTTAAATTTGGTACAAGAAGATACCAAAGCTTAGTTCCGCAAAAAATGTCAACAAGAGGTAGATCCAAATCCTGGAAATTCCTAATCCATGAATTTAATCTAATTCGTATGGTTATGTGGAACAACCTAAAGAAATATGGATATATAAGACTCAAAATAAAGTGAAATTCATTATAAAACGATGAAAAGTGGTCAGAAGTTTTACTGAATTTAGGAACCTCACGATGCTGTTCATCTTTAATTCTCTATTATTCTCAACCAAACAAATACAACATATGTCGTTTGAGTCATTGATAAGGTCAGAATAAAGTGATTTAGTTTCTTTTAATATACGAATATTACAGACTTATTAATCTCAGTGATCTGTATTAAATGATAACTTACAATTTATGGAAAGAACTGTCTAGTACTTTGACTTAAAGTGAAATCATCTGAAAAAAAAATATTTTTACGGGCTTTGAAGCCACAAACTTCAAAAACCTAAACATATTTTTTAACATCCTCCAGCAGATGTCTGTAGAAACAACAATGAAAGGTATGAATTATTACAATTTGCAATGACACTCTTAATATGAGAGATAATGAAACTTGAGGAATTAAAGAAGGAGCAATAAAGTTTTGTTTAATTTAACGAAAAATACAAAAATAGATTGGATTCATAACTGAACACCCATTGTATACTCACAAATCAATATAATGGAGATTAGTACATAAAATCTTAATAGATACTTGATTTTTAACTGATATTTTTTCAAATTTAAAATCATCAAATTCAATGAATGTGCTGATGAAACAATTCAATGAACAATTCATTAGCTCTTATTCCAGAGGTGATTTGTATGGCTTAGTCAAGAAGAGAATAAAATTAAATAAGCTGTTAATGAAATGTATTAAAATGAAGGCGTACCGATGATATATTAGTCGTGTCAAATAATCAATAACAAGCAATCTACCAATTTCAATCTTTCGAAGAAACAAACACAAATCACCTAACTTTCTGTGAAGAAACTCATAACTAACTCACTTTGTTGATATAAACTTGAGTAAATTAAGATGGATAAAATTTGCAAAATACTATGGAATATATATATTTGTATCCAAACAGTTATCAGTCAGTCATAGACTTGGATAATATAACTCCTATCCTACTATATAATCTTTCAATATTTATCCAATCATAACACAATTTAATTCGTTTAAAATTTTTAATTTGGTTCTATAATTGACTTAGCTTCTTAAGTCATTCATTACGTATGTTATTCTTATGTATCACTGACCGATATCAATAGTTCTAACGGTTAATTAAATTATGAAAATTTTTGTTACATTATGTCAGTACGTGTTTAATATTAACTTTTGACCAACTTCATTGTTATACAATACGTTAAACTACATTTGTGATTAAAAGAAAAAGTATGTAGCAGTTAGTTGCAAGCAACTAATGAGAATCTGATAAAATACAAACGATCCTATGTTATGTTTCTTTTTACTCTATTCATCATTATTCTCGATTATTGTAAATGATTCATTCATTCAGTCAGTCAGCCAGATGCAACGTAGAACTCCGTACGTAAGTACATCAGTTCATGTTGCCATACCACATCAGCAACGAGATGTAATTGTCAATTCAAATCCAATAGTAGAAGAGGTAGTAAAGGTATTAGAAGTAATCGGAGAGGTTAGGATTAGAAGATATTATTCAAGAAGTATGATTCAGTGAGAAAAGTTTAGAAAGTCAAAACTAGAGGTGTTGAAGAATCCAGAAGATTAGGATTTGAGAGAACACAAAGAATAAATGCACCGGTGCCATTGCGAACGATTTTGAGCCATGTCATTCAAGGTCTCTAACCATCGATTATTATCATCATCAGTTTTAAAATTATCGACTGAATTATAGCAAACATTCAACAATAACATGGAGTTGCATAAATATTAATTTCTAATACTTTTCAATCAATACACAATGAAATATATTGGAGTAACTTTTCTGTTTAATGTATATCCTGATAGAAACAACTATGGACAAGGCGAGAGAATATTTTCTATAAGTGGATGTGTTAGAAATGCAAAAAATAAAAGACACACTGTTATTCAACATGACTGTTCAATTATCATTATTAGATTAAATTAGCACCCAAACTATGTTGGACTACAATAGAATAAAAAAGCGGAATCAGCCAATACCTTTATTTCTTTGAAGAAAAAAAACTGCCATTCCTACAAAACTTAAAATGAAAGTTATCCAATTAAGAAGCTTTTTTTTAAAAAAAAATATAATTTGTAAAAAAAAAAAGAAAGCATTATGAAATAATTCGTGCATAAAGATATTAGTAATAATTACGAAAATAATCACTGGGATAATTGTTTAATCGATAATTATTTTGCATAATATATTATAATGTTTAACAAATCACAATTTTCCTTGAATGCACTCTGATCGAAGTTACAACTGATAAACATTATTTAAGAGTTAGCTAACATGTGTACAACTCAACATAATATATGTCAACTAACTTACAAAGAAATGATTTTTGTCCTAAAAACTAATTGAAATTCTATTACAAATATGAATAAACATTGAATCGTTTTCATTTATTCATAATCATTAATGTAGTCAATCTTCGTACATGTTGCAAATAAGAAAGTACAGGCATAACATAATAAATTTATTGCATTTCTAATGTCTATCTCTATTAGTGATAAATTATAGAGACAATGGTTAAAAACCATGAATTAGAGTGGAATATTGCAATTATCTTAAACAATGAGATTCATACAAATATAATTGATGTTTATTGGAAATGATAAAGAAAGAAACTAGCAATGTTTTTAAAGTGACTTCTCAAAATAAGTTTAGTGCACAAATTTTTGGCAATATATAGAGAGAGTATTAATGTTATGGAGGTTGAACGCAACACATATTTGTAAGTCTTATTGTACAAATACTAATAAATAAGTAGGAATTTGGTAAACAACGGTTTTGGTATCTTAGATCTAAGGTTTCGGCAAACTTATACATGTCCTATGCATTTTGTCCAACAGGCTTTACCAGTGAACACTTTATTTCCTAACGGTAGGATTAGGTGGTGGTAAGTTGACGACTTAGAACCGTGAAATCGACAGTAACTATGTAAGACTAGGTAAAATCCAAGATATTATAAAATTCTGTACGATATTCTTCATAAAATTTCAAACTTCTCAATTAAATGAAGTTTGTCTCGGTTGCATTTTCAATTGAACTTTATCTGACTAAATACTTTAACTTATCATGGATTGATAATGCGAACTTTCTTCTATCTTCACAATACTATCATTCCAATTTATTTGGAGGATTTTTCTGGTGCCTTGTTGTATAAGAAATTTTTCACGTTATAAATAAATAAAAGTTACAACATACTTCTGACTAAATTCCGAAAGAAACGTGAGCTTCCCTCACATTACAAATATATCTGGTCAATTAATGCATAAGACTGTGTCATGTAACATTGAACGCAAATGAATTGTAATATCGAACTATAGTGCAATAATGGAGATATAATAATCAGGCGATATACTGTGGATACTAAAAACTTAATAGAATAAACATTTCGAATTTTGTGTAGGAAGATTGAAATTAACTAAATTTTTAATTTAAAGTAGATGCTTTTGGTAGTGCTGTGTTCTCTGAGGCAGACAGTCTAATGAGCGAGCTTTAATTGTTAGTCTTGACAATACCATTAATGCTTATGATACGAAATAGCCGCTGATTATGTCCAGAACAACGATGAAAGCTCCACAATTAAATCTTATAGTTGAGCATCACTATGTAAGTCAATCATATATAATTAATGTAGAACCTGGAACAAATATACGGTAGCCCAAATTGCCATATCACATTAGTGAGACGAAATCAAATTAACACCATAGATTAAAAATCCTTCAACTAGATCAACATCAATTTTATCAACAAAGGTTGCAAAAAAACTGAACTTTATTACTGAAGAAACTAAATAACCAACTATATAAATCAATACTAAGATAGAAACTCACCAATTTGAGCTGAATACGCTAGATTCATACAACAAAGCTGAATGGTTTGGTGATACTATCACTGTTGTAGTACATGCGGTTGTAAGTGGTGGAACTGAATACGTTAAGGATGAAGAATAGGTGGGAAATTCTGTCTCAGAGATGGTTTTACTTACTGTACATAGTGACGGGACAATTATTGGCGATCGCTTGTTACAATAATCTTTATCGTATGGAAGTGATGTTGTAATATTATTGGAAGTATCAATGTCACTGCTTGGAAGATGGATATTATTTACATTTATGGTAGAAGTAGTATGAGGAAGTGGAGGAGTAATACTACTGTATAATTCACTGTCAACAGGTTTTGAATACATTGCAGAAACGTTAGATGGAAGTAAATGTTTTATATGATCTGTTTCAGAGCTATTATTATTACTGTTGGAATTCGGTGTTGTACAGTACGATGAACGTCCACGACGACTACGTCCACCTCTCATTCTATCTTCACGAACAGCTACAAAATGGAAAAAAGAATTAGAATACAAATGATTACTAGTCTGATTGATAATGATATTAGTGACATAGGCAGCAGCAGCAACATTGTCAACGAGATAAGTATGAGGTATTAGTAATAGAATGTGGAGAAAATAATGGAGCTATAGAATTAACGCAACAAGGTATTTAATGATGCAGTAACACATTGATTCCGTAAATGAGAAATATCATTGAAAAATGATAGTTTACTATTTTTTTTTACTGTGAAATATTAAATGATATTTACAATTATTATAATGCCACAAAGTTTTACATTTATCATCATTATGGTTACTGTTTAGATATTTGTATTTTTCCACTGATCTACGATAAACTTCGCCACCATCACCATCATCATTCTCATCAGCAATGAGAACAGAAGATTGCAGAGATTAATAAACAGTGTTAGGACACACCATTATTATAAGCAAGAAGATATTATCAATAATGCGTTAACATATGGATTAAAACTAATTACCACAAAGTATGTTGAGGTAATTTTGTACCGATTGGTTGCATAATATTTAACCTATTTATTCAAATATACAGAAATATATGAAACCACATTTTATAAATTAGTATGAGCCACTTTTCTGTGTGTGTACATAAAGTAAGAAAAGTTGATAAACAAGATTCATGAGGGATGAAAAATTGTCTATCTACTCATATTTATGCACAATTCGTTCATTCAACAACCCTGTTTTTGTTTCGTAACCTAATGTGTCACAACTTCCCTTTTTTTCTTGAAAAGCATACACACAAATGATTTCCACATTGTCAATCGAATAGAATAAGAACTACAAGCAGTATTAGTAAACAAATATCAATTAACCGATATGAAGATTTTTTTCGGTCTTGAGCATGAGGTATTTTACCAATATATCATATCACTCAATTGACGCTCCGTGTTTAACCACATTCAAATCCTATGTTTTTTTCCAAAAGTAGGATGTACACTTTTAAAGTATGATGATAGAACTTTTAGTTTATGGGATTCTGATGTTGAAAATTCCTTAGTTTCCAGGATCCAAGGAATCATATGATGTCTACTCAAATTGTAACTAATGGCTGTAGATTAGGAATGACCAAAAGGAATTATGATAATATTTTCAATAGAAAACAGAATAATGTAATATCCCTAATGTAAAACAATTTTCAGGAGTAAGTTACGTCATGCGGAATGTGGAAAAAGTAAGTGTGAACATGATCTAGAAGAGAGGTAGTATCTGGTCTTATGTCGATAGATACAGTTTTTCAGCAAGCGAATTTCCTGTAAAAAATTTCCATCTAACACTTAGATCTCATCATACCAGACACATTATTCTTTTGGGCTGAAGATTCTTTACTGCAAATAAATACATTGTATTGAATAATGAGATTGTCCAAAGGTATAGGTTTACTCAATTCAAACACAATCTACTGTCGAATAAGTAGTACAAAATTAATAAAACCGGACTAATGAGAAAGCTAGGCATGGAATGAAGGAAGCTGAGATTTTATATATATATATATATATATATATATATATATATATATACAGAGAGAGAGAGAGAGAGTTGATAAAAAAGAATTAGTTCTAATTACGTACAAAGAAACCATTTTTTCCTCATGCGATTGGTAATATGCCTTACTTACAAAAAGACAACGAGATTGAAGTCAAGATAGCCTACGACTTTCTGTGCTAACAAAAACCCGATATCTTAACCAACAATCGTTTGTCACGATTAAAGAAGTAAAATATAACCTAATGCATTTATAATTATCTTACGTTCTTCATCTTAAGTCGAATTTAGTATCTGAGTAGTAATATCTCCAGATATCAAAAACACGAGTACTTATGCCTGTAGACTTTACCAATAAAAGCCCATATCACTAAGTTTTTAAATACTAGTTCCTGATATCCTTGGGATACAAATTAACAAGTCCACAGGTGCAGATAACGATTACAATTAGTTGATAACTTGGCAGACTAGTTCTGCGTCAAATCACCTCCAAAAGACCTTAATCCTTTTCTACGCTTTGACTAGAACCCTATACAAACTAGGCATGTTTATATGCATAGATCAAAATATGTTGAACAACTGGAGAGTAAACTGATTAAGTGAAAAATCAACAAAAAAACAAACAAAGAAAACTCACCTTCTATTCTCATACCTACAATTAAACATTTCTGAAATCGGCAATAAGCACATCTTTTCCGATGTAATCGATCAACAACACAATTTCTTTGTTCATTACAATGATATTCTTTCTTGTTTTGCACAGTACGTTTGAAAAATCCTTCACGTAATAGAAAAAGAGGAGAAACCAGAAAATTAATGGGAATTATACTACTTACCTTTACAAGATTCACATGTAGGAAGACCATAGTGATAACCAGATACCTTATCTCCACATATGGGACAATTTTCACAATGAAAAAGGGACGATGACGATGATGATGAAAGGTCCGTAATACTAGAAGGAAATGAGGTAGTCTTATTGTTTGAATTTAGTACATAATTGTTATTATTACTACTGCTAGTTGGACTGTTATGATGTATGTTAGTTAAAAGTTCCTGAGTATTATGTTCAGACGAATCAATGCATAAAGAATCACTGACAACAAGATTATTAGTATTTTGATTAGTATTAAATTGTGTTGTTTGAGGATGTTCGTCGATAGATAATAATTTCACCGAAGGTGATGTTGTTGTGTCAGAATTAGTCGAAGATGCAGTAAACATTTTTCACACTGAAATAATTAACAACTTGATGGGGATAATTTGATTAAAAATATGAAGTACGGTCATAAAATCCCATTGAGCATGTTAATTGATTGTAGAAAGGAAAAAAATATGTATCAATAATTCTTTCATGCAGCATTTAATACATGAATATGAAGTGCAAAAATAAAAACAAAAATCACACTGTAAATCCCTGAGATAAGATTATTTTACGATTAGACCTGTAAAGAGACGAAAAATGAGAGTAACAAATAATTAATCATAAAAATATAGAAGAAAATAAAGAACTAAGTGATTGTAAAACCAGACGATAATAATATATGAACAGAAAGCATCCACAGTATAAGCGTTAAATAACCTTCTATGTGGGAATTAGTGTTTATATTAATTTACACACACAACACTTTCTATAATACTTTCTTCTTTACTTCTTGGTAGTATTTTTATTGCTTTGATGGGGTATGTAGTAGATTGAACTTGTACATTACTGTATTTAATTGAATATTATTTTGGTCAGTCTTAAGAGTATAACACATACTGTGTATAATGTAAATTTCACATGAGTCTCTTCGGTATTTGTCGCTTACAATGAAAGCATACTTGCATTACTGAGACGGAATTTATGAGTTTTGCAAAGCACTTAATAACATTTGATGTCTTCATGACTTTTAAAGCGCTTTACTTGCTAAACTATTAAGTCAATCATTCAGGAAATATTTAGTTCCCATAAGCAGTCAAGGATTTGGATAGCGGCTGGCCTTATTGCTAATATGGTTTGATATTTTGAGATGATTCATATGATTGATACACTTAATAATGACCATTGGCGATTAAAATAAGTTGGTGAAGTAGGGAATCTTTATCAACCAAGGGATAGATGCTGTATGTATTATGTTTGCTGAGCCACTTCCTACCTCGACAGGTGGTTTGCTCGTGCATTCACTCTTTTTTTCCACTAAATTCTCAATCCCGAAATCTCATACGTTTTTACGTCTTCCTGTACCCAATCGTCTCGGTTAATACTGATACTGTCACTACTTCTACTCTGGGATGTGTTTTCGTAATTTGTCTCGTTGTACTAGTGTGGTATGACAACTTGAACCAATTAACATATGTACCAGATCCTACGTTGCATACGACAGTTTATGGCTGAACAAAATTAAGAAACCGGTTAGCGGTTAGTCAACTGTATACAAGTGTTCACTTCAATGTTTCTATGATTTTATTTTTGAATTAACGACTTATTTCACGTCTTTGATTGTATAACCACGTTTTATTTTACTAAAGATTAGCACTAAATAATTTACCTACTCATAAATAAATATAAAACTTGCAGTAAAATTAATTCTTTCAAAAAAAAACACTTGTCGACCGTTGTTACTCATTTGCTTGCGATTAAATTCTTAGTAATATATTTTTAATTTGTACAGGAAGATATCATGCAAGATTTGTCAGTGAATCAATTCAACAGACATTATGCATGGGTGACAAATGTTAAACAAAGGAGTTTATGATCGCAATAAGTGAGGGAGTCTTAGACAAACCACAAAACGGTGAACCTCGTCTGGTGCTACTTACAGCGGACAGCATACTTACTCATACCATTAAACCTGATAAAGCCGATAAATATATCTTCAGTAAACTTACTTTAGAATGATGTATCTGGTATGATGAGATCTAAGGGTTAGATGGAAATTTTTTACAGGAAATTCGCTTGCTGAAAAACTGTATCTATCGACATAAGACCAGATACTACCTCTCTTCTAGATCATGTTCACACTTACTTTTTCCACATTCCACATGACGTAACTTACTCCTGAAAATTGTTTTACATTAGAGATATTGCATTATTCTGTTTTCTATTGAAAATATTATCATTATTCCTTTTGGTCATTCCTAATCTACAGCCATTAGTTACAATTTGAGTAGACATCATATGATTCCTTGGATCCTGGAAACTAAGGAATTTTCAACATCACAATCCCATAAACTAAATGTTCTATCATCATACTTTACAAGTGTACATCCATCATGTACACACACAACCACTATAAAAAGGATGCGCGTAATGACTGAAGCAACCACAATGTGTTTACATAAGTACTACAACACATTAGTTAAATTAACCGAATCACTCAGATGTGGATTATGTAACGAGGAAGGAAGTGCTGAATAGGTTGATTTAATCCGATTGTTCGGAAAACGTAGTATTGAATAATAAAACTACCAATCAATTATCAATACACAAATGAGAATAGCAATTATCTTCTCAATGTATTATTGTTATCTGAGGTCCCTATTTGTATTAGCTAAAGTATGGAGAGAATTATGGAATGTTTACGTGACCACCCAAATTCATTCATTCACATTCATATGTCCGTATTCGAAAAATCTCATTGTACGAATTTCTTAGAACATACTGACAGGAAATTCGGTTGAACAATCATTCTACGTGTCCTACTCACAATCTCTGATTGAGAAGTTTGCAAATTGACTCAATCTACTGTTCGGTGCTATAAGTTCCGAATAACTAGAAGAGGAAATGGGTATGATCTACCAATCACTTATTAGAACGGTTATTCAGCACAACAGTGTACATTTTCTCCTTCTTCTAAGATCATATTTCGATAATTTGTCTAAGCAGTAATAGAATACATTGTTTTCACTTTCGGATAACAGATTTCAGAAATAGTATAGAAACAGAACGTTCAACCACAGTAATGGCCATGGATGATGCAGATAAACTTACTTATTTTGGTACGATATATACTTATATATTGAATTTAGGTGTTTCGTGAATCAGTGTGATACATTTCATTTCGAGAGAGTTTGTCACTGTATAACCATCATTTATTGTCGAACGTATTCACATTGAATATGTTAATGTAGTGGAAAAACATTGATAACATTCTTACTAGTATATTTTTTCTAACTGAGTATGATCATTTGTCGAAGCATAATGTATGTGTGTCCTCTCCACTGCAGTGCTTCGTCATGATTTCTCACCTATCTGATAGTAGAAGTGGAACGTGTGAGATAGAGTGACGTCGTCTGGCACCGGTCTTCAACTGAAACAAGTCTGTGTCAACAACAGGTTTCGTTCCGGAATTAGACAAAACTGTACTAAAGTTAACGATTGACTGAACCCAGGTACGTTTAGTAGACTAGTAACCTACGAATATCTTCTACTCTCACTGGCCATGTTTCACAGCAATAAAGTAGGATGGAGCGAACTGCAGCACAGTACACTCGTCCTTCGGTTAGCAAACGGATATCTCGCCTACGCCATAAGTGACGCAGGATGGCGAAAGCCGATCGAGCTTTCTGTATCCGCGTTGAGATTTTGTCAGTCACCAGGCCATCAGCAACACGCTCAACTGCTTCCCTCCCTATCACTAGTTCAGGTGCCGACGCAACCCAATCTTGAAGCAACATGTTGCATTTCGAGGGTGAGAACCGCATCCCGAACATGCTTGCATTGTTGCTCAGGGTGGTCAGAAGACTCTGCATTGTTTCATCGTCTTCACCAAGTAGGACTGTCATCGGCATATTCTAAGTCAATTAGCGAGCCACCTGGTAGGTCTACTCCTGAAAATTTAGACGAGGATAAGGTTTTTTCTAAGAGCATGTTGATGACAAAATTGAATGAAAATGGGGAGAGTGTAAATCCCTGACGGATACCACTTGAAGTAAAGAATTTTGGTGACAGTTCACCATAAGCTCTCACTCGACCAGTAGTGTTTGAGTAGAGAGCTTGTATGAGGTTAATGTACTTCTCTGGTACACCTTTCAATAACAGACAGTGCCACAGAACATCACGATCCACTGAGTCAAATGCCGCCTTAAGGTCCAGGAAAACAACTATCGTAGGACGCCTAAATGTGTTTCTGTGTTACAGGACTTGTCGTAGTGTGAAGATGCGGTCTATACAGCCACGTGCGGGTCTGAAACCATCCTGGTTTTCTCTAGTCTGCTCTTCACGAGCACTAATTAGGCAGTTAAGGATAGTCGAGGCTAACAATTTAGAAACTACATTAGTTAGACTTATTCCCCTGTGATTGTCACACGAGGACTTTCGTCCTTTCTTATAAAGCTGCAGGTCTGAATCCCACCTTACTTATTTCGGCTCGGGAAACCACGTATTATTCTTATCTCACAAGGAATGTGGTTTAAATCCCAGTAAAAAATCTGTCTGGTAACGAAAAACCCACTTCGAACTTTGTCGCAAATATGTAGGTTGTGATACCATTCGGCTGATCAAACAACCGCATCGATGGAAGGAGGCAGTTTGACCACTGAATCACTGCTGCACGATCCGAATATTATAGGATATACATTTCGTAACAGTGAGAGTGAGAGATTCATCGATGTAAAAACTGAACTTTAAAACAATGATAAATAGTGTTAGCTAAAACTGTTAACAAAAGCACACAAACTGAAACGATCTTATAAGTAGATGGTAAGAACTAAGCTAAAAATGTCTTAGATTATTATGAGGGTTTCAATAAGTTAAAAACGTCGAAAGATTAACACTTCAGCTCAAACCACTGATGAAAGTTTACTACTGACCTTCAGAGTAATTTATGACGAAATTTTAAAAATACGGTCGCTTTACCGTATTTTTTCAATTTTATGTATGAAAGCAACTGACTAAAATAGTATGTAAACCTATAATTAGCTTTATAAACATATAAATCAGTGAAGCAGAGTTTAAGCAATGCAGTTTCCTACGACAAATAGAAAAATTGGTTAGCAAACGAAAATACTTAGACAAAATGTGGTGTATATTTGATACTTATAACCGAGTCATTTTCCTAGTACTCAGAAACCGTCCTGGGTTACTCACAAGATAGTGACTTTATATCCCAGCCAAGAAGTAGCTCTTGCATTATAGTTTGTGACACAAATCTATAGGATTACTGTACGTTAATTTATAGTAAACCTAAAGTTGTAAACAATAGACAGCTTTCCACATAGTTCACAGATGATGAACTGCCAGT